TAAAGCAGCAACTTGGGGAGGGGTCGTTAATGGTAGTGGAGGGACGCGCCCAGCGGGGTGGCTCTGCCCTCCCTCCCCCAGTTCCTCACTCAACACGACACTGGAGGGCTGTTGATTTCGGGGAGGGGGCGGTCTCTTGCCCCAGATAACCGGTTACCTCGGTAAAAGCGCTTTGGGCCGTGCCCCTCACTGCCCGCTTGCCCCCGGGTTCGCTTTCCCTCAGCAGGGGCAGGGGCACAGGGCCCAGGCCCGAGTCCACGGAGAGGTCCGAGGCAGCCACGTCGAGTTGTGGTTTCTCTGGTGACAAGCACCGGTCCCGTCCAAGGCGTTCAGGCAGCTCCTGCACAAGGTGACGGGCTGGGCCCTGCCCAGCCCTGCCTGCTCTAGGGAGAAAACCAACACCTGATGGTTTGTTTGCTTCCCCGCAGCGCTGCACCTGTCCCTGGTGTTCTCCCAAGAGCATGGCTTGCTCGTCTTTATCCACAGATCCCTCGGCATCGAGGAGGTACGTTGGTAAACTTTATTTTTTAAAGAAATGTTGAGATAGTGCTATATGAACAGCATGTTGTACACATTAAAACTATTTTTTTTTTAACTTTTCAGTTTCGAGATTGCAGGGAAGAAGCTTTGAAGTTTCTTTGCGTCTTTATGGAAAAAGTTGGTGACAAAGTTCATCCTTATGCCTGTAATATTAAGGTGGGTAAAGGAAAATTTCCCAGCGGTCTTTGCCAAATGGTTGAAATAATTCTGGTGGGTCTCATTCTATAACAGATTTGTAACTATCCTTCGCCCCTCCCAGTCTGCCTCTAGCGCTCTTGCTAGGGCTGAAACAACTTGATCGGCATAAAGTATAACTCATACAACAGAGACGTGTGGAATTGTTCCTTCAACTAGACTTAATTTTACTATCCTTTCTTTATAAAGAAAGGTAGGTGTGATAGGTATTGATTTTGAAAATAAGTTATTGATACTGAAGATAATAGTTATAACTTCTAATTGATACAAACAAAATTCATAGTTTAATATTTTAAATGTTGCTGTAGGCGATGGATCATTTTAAATACTGATTTTTAACAATTTCTCCTGCAAAGTTGTTACTTTTGCAATATACACAGAAATTGGTGGAAACTATGATACCTCTAAAAACTAGGTTCCCTGAGTCTAGATTGCTGAATGGTACTACTTTGCATAGAAATCCGTCACTGCACCGCTGCACTTTCTGATCTCGAATTAGTGGCTACATATTGTAAGGACCAATGGTGCAGAGGTGGAAAATTTGCTCTATGCCTTTTATTCCAGAAACTGCACTTTCTTTGCTTGATCTGGGGTTGGTTATTGTGTCAGACAGTGCTGCGGTGTTGTCAGTGAAGCTGCTTTCAGGACTGACTATTTTTATTGTTTTAGTCTTTTTTTTTGAAAACCTCAAACTTGTTGGGAACAGATACTTCAAAAAGGTACATGAGTACGTTGTTACCTTTGAATTCCCTTCTTTACTTACTGAGTATTGTAACCTCTCTTTTCTTTCCTACTAGCAAACTTGTATGAGTGTTTATACGAAAGAGAGAGCAGCAAAATGCAAAATCCCAGCTCTGGAACTTCTGATCAAGGTAAAATGTGTTTTAGAAATCTCTGTTGCTTCTAGAAAAAGTAGAAAATCTGTTGTGTTACTACAGTGGCGCTGTGTCATGCAGGAATTCTGTGGTCTGCAGTAGCAAGAGAATAGTGATGGTGTAATATTTGGATATGTCTTACCCGTAGATGGTCTTCGATGTTCCTCCAGTGGGTTGCTTAGATGTAAGCGTGTCATTCCTTCATCTGTAAGACAGGATTGTTTTGGGGGCAGGTGCAGGTCTTCTCTCTCCCGGTTTATTATGGTTCTTTAAGGGGAAATTTTGCGGTTCAATTGCATTCTTACTTTAAAATACTATGTATTAATATGTAGCGTTGTAATGGAATGGGTTAGACACAGGGTGTGAAAGGCGTGGAGGAGGAGAAGAGCTTTTTTCCAGAAGTTTTGCCATTGTGTGAGACGGAGATTTCATGATGTCCTTCCTTAGAATGCATTAGACTGTTGTTTTCCAAATGCTTTTGCACCTACTGAGTTTTTTTTTGTGAGAAACAAAACTTCCTTCTGAGTTACTCTGAGTTGGTTCTTCTATGAATTGGATTGACTTTATAGGAGCAGGGGAGAAATACAATAGGATAAAGGCTACTGCAGACTTGAACAGCCTGTGATTTTGTGGTCTTTGTTTTTTTTTTATATATATACGTGTGTAAAATTATACTGTGTATGATTTCATGCAGATGATCTATGCATAATAGGAATACTATAAATTAAAAGTTAGACATTTTGTATTTATATGTATATAGGAAGGTAACTTGTTGTTAAAGTAGGTTTCCTGCCAATACTCTTTCCTGGACCAGTCACCTTAAATCTCTTTCATTAAATAGCATGCATAAGCTGAAGTTACACATAGGAACTGGGTTTTTATTTAGACCAAGTAGAATTATGGTAGTGATATTAATGATTTACCTAAATTTTCGGGTTTTTTTTTAATCTATCTTAGTTGCTCCAGAGTTTACGACGTTCCTGTCTGATGGAAGAAATGAAAGTTGGGGAGATATTTAATAAATTTTATGGGGAACTTGCCACAAAAAGTAAAGTTCCTGATACAGGTAGGCTTTAGTTTTTTTGTCAATGTGCTTTGTTTTATTTACACTCAGTTTTTGTTGGATTATACCCCATGGAAATGTATAATTGTTATTCCTATGGCAAGTATGTCTAAAAATGGTAGCTGTCATGGTTTAGAGCTAGTACAGTTTGTTCAGGTGTTCTGCTCATGATCATGCAGTTAGCTGATTCTTAGCAGACCTGTCTGTGTGTACAAGCCAGCACGTGGGAGAAATCACATAATTGCATTTAGTGGTGGCAGTTCACACTGAATTTAAGCATAGGTCTGGTTTAGGATTCCCACCATGAGAGAGTATTTGTATGTCTAATCTGTTATTATTAGTCCCTGAATGCCTAAATCCTGAAAGTAATTCCAGCTTTCTTGCCATTAACCAACTCAACTTTGCTAGGCTCTTAGATTTTTATTTTTTTCCTGGGTTCAGTGCTAACCTGGTGTAGCTGAACCTTTGAAGTTACTCTTATACGTGTTTTATAACTATACACACCCATACCCCTATAGCTTTGAGCCTTAAGAGTAGTCCTGGTCCCTCCCATGGCTGCTCTTGCCAAAAGCAGAGGCTGCCCATCCCTGTCAAAGTTCACGGAAAGCCCAGCTCAGTTCCTAAAGCTCTTTGTAACCTTATTCCAGCCCTGGCCAGTTGTTTCCTCAGAGTTTTAGTGTGATAGTTCCTGCCTTGGTCACCCCTCATGTGGGCTCCTCAGTTCCTGCCTCGCCTAATGGCGTTGTTTATGATGTTAAGCCTACTGATAGGAGCTTTATTTGATCGTCTTGGCTAGTTACAGCTGAAATCTTGGCTTGACAGGTCTAGGCCTCACAAAACTTGCTGGGCCTGCATAGAACCCTTTAGTCTGAAGTCAGGCCTAGAAACTTCTGCTAGCTGTTGGCTTTAACCCTGAAGAAGACTCAGCAGAACCTCCAGGCCAGCAGCAAACTTGGATTAGTGGTAAATGCTTCCTCAGCGGATAAGGCCTTTGTTAATCAGTTTTCTAAGCCACATTTAAAAAGAGTAAATGTGTTTAACTTATTAATGTGAGAGGAGGATGCATCTGGCAGTGTAGTATGCAGAGATGTGTATATAGGTATGTACATCATAAAGAGTTGTCTTTTCCCCTCACTGATGGCCAATTAAAATTAAACCATCAGGGATGGTTTTCTCATGGTTGCAAGTTACATAATAATTGCAGTGGAAATGTCCAAGTAATGATTTCAGTAATTAATATTTAATAATATTAAATTACTTTCTAGTACTGGAGAAGATTTATGAGCTTTTGGGAGTTTTGGGAGAGGTCCAGCCTAGTGACATGATTAACAACTCTGAAAAACTATTCCGAGCTTATTTGGGAGAGCTTAAAACACAGGTATGATTGGAATTTCTTTTCAGACTCTTGCATTGCTTTGTTTTTTTCCCTTTGATATGGGTGTATGTTGGAATGCTGTTGTACAGTTGGAAGGGATCTAACTAGGCAATCCTAAATGGTTCCTTAAGGACTGTTAAAGTTTGTGTTCTCTGGTTCTAAGACGCGTTCAAAGTAAAAATTAAAGGCCATTAATGACAGTGAATTAACCAATTTGCTGTGGGAAAAGATGGCACATGGTGATCATTGCGGTAGTGCCCAAAAAAAGTTATATTGCCATGCACTGGTGGTTTCTGATTTGGTCTCTACTAGCTGCAAAATCCTTGCATTTCAGGTAAATATCACAGTTCTGCTGAACTTTGCTTTCCTATATTCTCCACTTTTAAGACATCAGTGTGTGCTAAGTTTTGCTACCGTTGGTCTTGGTAGAACATATTTCATGCTTTTCAAAGGGTTTCTTATGCTTCTGTAGTTAAAGTCCCTCCCAATGATATTAAACTTCTAAGCAGGAGATGTTTCTGTGGACTTGTGTTGATAGAAGTGGGTGCTGACATAACTGTATTGAGTTGGAATATGGGGGTTTATCTACGCTTCTAGGAACTGGGAAGCCTTGGTGTAAATTTATCTTAGCTTGGGGATAATGTTTTTTTTCAATTCCCACTTTTTTAGATGACATCAGCTACAAGGGTACCCAAGCTACCTGTTGTAGCAGGATGTCTGAGGGGACTGGCTGCACTCATGTACAACTTCACCAAATCTGTGGACGAAGGTGTGTTCTTTTTCTGTGTGAAAGACAGTTATACCATTTGATCTAGTTTAATCATTACACAGCCAGCAAACAGCACCATTTCTCGCTGTGAATTCGGGATGAAAATTTCCCTCCTGGTGGATGGGTTGTGCAAAACCACGTGCTGTCCAGCTACACGGTGCTTGTCGTCTGCCTTTGCGTGGAGTGGCTTCGTCAGCGTGTCTCTGTGCGTGAATGTTTGAAGTGCTGTTTTCTGACCAGAGACTGGGCAGCTGTGAGAGCCACATGAAGCTGGAATGCAGTTTGTACAGAGATGTGTTTCCCTCAGAAGGGACATGTCTGTTAAAACATGGGTATTCAGAAAAATCAATGAATATAGATATACTGGTTGGGTGGGTTTTTTTTTCAATTTTAAGAATATTTCAGGAAAAAGCTTCTGTCTCTCTTAAAATGAGACATGTAAGGCTTTCCAATATTGCTTCTTCCTGCCAAGCTTTGGATAAAAATAGCTTTGTCTTCACTTTTGTGTGTCAGTAGCGAAATACTCATGATTGGATTATTTGACAGATCCTCAGACTGCAAAGGAGATTTTTGATTTTGCCATGAAGGCGATCAACCCACAGGTAAATCTGCAACATATTAATTGTTTTGCATAAATTAATTAGCCCTGATGGAGAATAAATCACATCTGACAAACCTGTTCTGATATTACAGGTTGATCCGAAGCGATACGCGGTACCTCTAGGTAAGATTGTCCGTTGTTTCAGTCCATGCTGAGGTGGAAACCGTACGTACAGGGGTGTCTTCTGCCTGGAGTTCATTCTCTGCTGGCTGTCTTCAGATGGCTCTGCTCTTCAGTCTCCTAAGCTGAGCGGGGAGCAAAGCTGGTGTAGTTTAAGTTGGAATCTGAAGAGTTGAACATGTATTTGGTTAAACTGGGCAAGGTCTAATCAGCGTGTGAACAGCAGCGTTACGCTTGATGCCATTTGCCCTCTGGAGCAGCACAAAACCATGGAATGAGAAGGGAATTAAGGCAGGAGTAGAAATAAGAGGAATGTAGCAAATGAGGAGAAAAGAGAAGACAGTGGATTGGGTTAAAGGAGAAAAAAAAAAACCCACGAAGAGAAAGGGAATCTTACTGGAAGAAAGAGAAAGGAATTGGGATCAAATGAGGTTCATGAAGAAAATGAGAAATTGGCCTGTGACACGCAAGTGGCTTGTGCAGAAATTGCAAGAAGCCAAGGGCTGGTACTAGGCCCGTGGCACCTGAAGGGTAAAACCCTCTTGAAAGATAGTCTACCAAAAAAAAAAAAAAAAAATTAAAGATCTTGAAATTGAAGTTATGCTTCTATTTGGGATTGTGAAATTATCTATTTTCTGAATTCTTTGTCTGCATCACAGTTTGGTGGAGGAGGGGACTTGAGCGTATGTCCTGACCACAGAAACCAAATCCCTGTGAACTGGGCAATCAAGTATTATTGTTTGGAACCAGTAGAGTCCCTTCCTTTTTAGCTGTTCACGTAAATTACTTCAGAACTTAGCTGTGTTTTCCATAATGGTGTACATTAAAAAAAAAAAAAAAAAGGATTTTGGAGGGTTGTTCTTATACTTCATTTCTTAATGTGTGGATACTGATACGGCAGTGGTGAGAAGAATACATTTTATATCCTCCAGCATGACAGCTATACCTACCTGAAGTCCTAACGTGGACTTTTCTAGTCTGCTCTGGTTTTGGAAAGTGGAATAGAGGTCTGGGTTTTAATGAGAATTGTTTTTAAATTGCAGCTGGTTTGCAGTTGTTCAGCTGGCATGCGGCTCAGTTTGGTGCCTTGCTCCTGGACAACTATGTGTCCCTCTTTGAGGCAATGTGTAAATGGTGTGGCCACACAAATCAGGAGCTGAAGAAAGCCAGTCATTCTGCGTTAGAATCGTTCCTCAAGCAGGTATTGTAACGTCACTGGGATCTCTGAGACTAAAGCAAAGTCAAAATTCTTGAAATAGTGGGAGTATTTGGTGCTTGGAAGTCCAGTGAATCTGTATGATATGTAATTATTTTGTTGAAGTCCTTCGTATTACAAGCTAGGTATCTTTTAAGACTGACTGTATATTTTGTGGCTTTTTTCATGTTTCTTGAAATGCTGAAATTTTAGTATGTGCTTTACAGGTTTCTTTAATGGTAGCGAAGGATGCAGAGCTACACAAGAGCAAGTTGCAGTTCTTCATGGAGCAGTTCTACGGAATCATCAGAAGAATGGATTCGAGCCACAAAGAGTTGTCCATTGCCATTCGCGGATACGGGCTTTTTGCAGCAGTATGTGCAGGAAACTTACTCTGATAAAGGAGTGTGCTGCATGGGTTTAAAGCTAGGGCTCATAAACCATTTCTTTTACAATTTTACACAACTTGTTATATAGGGAATGCTCCTGTTTCTGGATTAAGTGTTGAATTAGTTAGCTGCACTGTAAAATACATTGTGCTTGCAAATTGTTGCAACGCATACTGAATTTAGCAGGAGCACTTGGAGCACTGAGGGTTGCAGTTATTTCTGCTTGTGCCCTAGTTCTGAAGTGGAAAACCAGGGGCTTCATACAGAGCTGTCACAAAACTTAAGGATGTGCTGAGTTGCTTGGGTACAGACAGTACCTCGTTAGCTCTGTCTGCGTGTAGGTGGGAGGATCCAGGCCAGCTCTGCTCTGGCAGGAGTTCAGATACGTTTCCTACAGAGCAGCAATCTCTGTCAGAACAGCCAAAATGCGCTGCTGACTGCAGGACACTAGGAGGTGATTTGTGAAACAACTGCAAATTAAAAAAAACCAACCCTGAAGCCATGCTTATGTACGTGTGTGGATGGCAGGTAGGTTTGTCAGGAAGCACCATTAAGAACCAGCTTCCAATTTTTGTCAGCGGACAATTAGAATGGGAATGTAACAATCAAGTTAAGGCTCCATAAAGAAGGAGTGGTGGTTAGGTATCTGCAGCCTATGTGCTTGATGCTGGCACTACAACTTCGATATAACAAAATTCTAGATGTTCCTTTTTCTTTACCTCTCTCTCTCAAAGCAAACATTAGGTTAAGTGATCTCCAAGATTAGAGAAGATTAGGAGTTGTGGTAGAATAGCTGGTTACTAGCTGAATCCTTTCCATTTTGCTGCCTTTTGAGCAGAGTGCATTTGTTTGGTAGAGTTTTCAGTGTTTATTGTTGAAACCTAGTCTTCCTCTTCTGCGATAGGAGCTAGAAGGGAATTGAGTTAAAGGTATTATTTCCTGAAAAAAATGAAGGATTTCAAATTCCTCAATTGAAAGAAACTTGTTAAAAAGGCCTGTTGTGGAACACAAGAAGTTAATTAAAATTGCATGATGTAAATACAGACATGGGATAATACTGCAAATTTTAACAGGAAAAAGGGACCTTAATGCTGCAATACCTATAAATCTTTAGTATGTTAAGACACACTAATAGTTGTTAGCGTGTTTAGACTAAATCTTGGCCAAGCATCAGATGCTAGGTCGTGAGGAAGCAGTCTCGCTGCTACTGCACGTAGTGACCCTAGCATGAACACAAGTTCAGTGACTGATCCAGTTTCAAAAGAATTTTTCAAATTTTTCAATTTTCGAAAAGAATATTTCTTTTACTGTCTAATTGCTAAAATAATTTTAGAGTAGTACTTGCAGTTCTACAAGTGATAAATGTATAGTCTTAATTTTGTCAGCATGGTTTTTTAGACGGACTAGATGTAACCTTTAGCCTAACTCTCGTATTCTGTCATTACCTAAATCAGCCCATAGTTTTTCCACAGGCAGTTCCCTACTACAGTTCTTGCCTGTGACCTGGTTCCTTTTCCACAAAGACTGCTTTTTGGCCTCACTAGATACTGTGATTTACAAATCGTTCTATAGAAATCTGTAATTATTACATGCCTTCTGGTACTGTTTGGGGTGCTTTCTGCTTGTTTGTTAGTTTAGGAGTGGTCTTTGTCCCCTGTTTGTACAGATCCCAGCACAAAAAAAGTTCAGAATTTGGGCTGCTGGGTTAAATGTTTAGTAGTATCCTGGTAATGATAATTGGTTAAGCCACATTAAGGTAAGCCACTTACTACTTTAATGCAGCTAGGTCAGAATATAGATTAATGTTAGTATACATAATGCCATATTTGAGATATTTACAGCCAAACTCCATGCTTTTCAGGCTGAAAGTTCAAGTACTCTTATAGAACATTACACTACATCAGTGACTTAGTATTTTAGTTCATTGCAGGTACCATGTTTCTCATACATGTAGCAAGAGAACACTTAAGGTTGGTTTATTCAGATGTATTGAGTTCCTGGAAAAATTTAAAACATTATTATGGTTCAGTGAAGACTTGGCTGAGTTTTAGTGCTACAGCATATGTCTACTTGCCTGTACAAAGTTGCTAAATCAGTATTTTATTTCTCTCTGTAAGCCCTGTAAAGCTATACGTTCTAAGGATGTTGATGACATGTATGTTGAGCTCCTTCAGCGTTGTAAGCAAATGTACCTCACAGAAGCAGAAACGATAGATGACCATCTGTATCAGCTGCCAAGTTTCCTCCAGTCCATCGCAAGCGTGATATTCCATATAGATACAGTAAGTAGAGTATTTAAAGTACCAGTCAATTTTTTTTTTGTGCAGCTATGGATGCATAAGGAGGTAGTAGCTGTGAACTTACCTATGATAGAAAGTGTTTCTTTATCTGAAATACTATGACATGTAGCTCCTAGGACATGGGAACATTATCAGGAAAATACGTTCTTGGATTTTATTTGAATAAAGAAAATGCACAGAATATGCTGAATAAGATGCTACAGTGCATTGTGATGAAAACCATGATAGCCAAAAGCGAATATGTTTTTATTTATTTTAGGTAAAGCTATTTATTTGGACCTAGCCTTACCCTTCTCTTTATGCATTTATACCGCTCTCCTGCTGCTTTTTCATTTAGTACTGATACTTGGCGTGTTCTCTGAGGATGATGCTTTGATTTTTCCTCTGATGCTGTGCTGTCTGTGTTCTAATGAGGGCTTTCTGGATGCTGTCTGGAGCTGAGAAATAAGGTTGGGGCAGAGAAGAGACTTTCACTTACATTCTGTATTCAGATTGTTAAGGATGAACAGATTACACTGCTGTGTTATTATTGTTTAATTAAATTGGTACTTTTCTAATAAGCTTAAGACTGGTTCCACTGAAGCATTGATCTATTCAGGAGCTACTTTCCATAAAAGACAATGATTCCTGGGTGTTTTGTTTCTCTTTCTTCTAGGTTCCTGAAATATACACTCCAGTTCTTGAACATCTAGTTGTGCTGCAGATCAATAGCTTTCCACAATACAGTGAAAAAATGCAGTTAGTCTGTTGCAGATCCATAATAAAGGTATTTCTAGCCCTCTCCGGAAAAGGTCCAGTTCTCTGGAGTTTTATTAGCACTGTGGGTGAGTCCGTGATATTAACTTTGGTGTGGTTTTTGGAGGGTTGTGGGGTTTTTGTTTGGTTGTTTTTTTCTCCCTAAAATGATTAACTGGTTCTAAGAGATATGTGGAATAGCCATTTAGGGTCAAAAATGAAGCTTTTCCTGTCCTCTAATAATAGGTTCTCGTTGTGTTACTTTTCAATATGCGTTGTTAAATCACTTAAGGAATACATTTAACAACGGTTTTGGGTGACAGTGGCTATCATCAAGGGCAGGAGAATATATTTTTGTGATAATCCGTTTAAACATAAGACTTAGGTTGCTGCTGAGAAGGATTGTGGGGAGAAAGGGAACAAAAATCTGTTCAATACCCTTTCAGTTACCCCTACAAAATGTCACAGAAAGTAGGGTGAGTGTCATCTCTATTAGAAGTGCAGTCTTTTTATACCCTGGAACAGTCTATGTCTGTGAGAGCCGTTGGGAGTTGCTGCCTTTTTCAATACGGGCCTTACGGGCGATGCCTTGGTCATCACTGCAGTCAGAGTCAGGAAAAAGTCAAAGCAATATTGAGAAAAAGCAGTAAGAAGCAAGATCAAAATTACTTCCCTGTGAAACATCCTAGAGTTACGGCTCTGGTTTTGGCTAGATTTGTCCTTAAAGAAAAATCTGTGTTCTTTTGCCTCTCTCTCATCCTGAAAAAATATAGAAAATAGAAGACTTACTTAATTCATTGCTAACCTAATGAGTGATATGGGTGCTGTGCCTTTTTAAGTCTGTTCAGGCAATTTTCATTTTGTTTCAGTGCATCAGGGATTAATCAGAATCTTCTCCAAGCCAATCATGTTTTCAAAGGTAAAATAACATATTTTTTCATCTAGATTCCTAGAGTATACATTCCAGTTCTTGAAGATCTAGCCCAGCAAACAGGGGAAGGCCCAAAGAAGCAAAAATAGTACTGTCCATTTTGAATTGTGGCTCAGTTGTTATTAAATTCTGGTCCCTACCTCTGCTCAACATAATGAGGTTGTGCTTCTTGTACTGAATGAAAGAAATTACAGGAAATAGACTTTGTTCTCTGCAGTTCTTGTTTGCTCGGGTTGTCTGTAACAAAGTCGGCTGTAATAAAGTCATCCAGCTTTCTTCCAGGTTAACAAATTTTGGACACTAAAACTTTTACAGAATGTTTGTATTAAGGGAGGATTTTAAAGCTTTTTAATCCTGTGCAGCAGGCTAACTGTAGATTTTCTCAAATAACTGACCACTAGAAGGAGAAGAGTTTTAGAGGGTTTTGAAAGGAGCTGGTTGTTTTGGGCTCATTTCTGATGGGTTAAGTGAGAAAGCTGAACGTTTCGTGTTTCTACCTGCAGAAGTAATTTTACATGGTGTTTTAGCATGAGTCGGGTAATTACACGTGCAGTTGTATTGAGTTTGGCTGAGGTGGAGTTAGTTTTCCCCGTAGCAGCCCTCGTAGTGCTGTGCTTGTAGTGGTAGCTGGAAAGGTGTTGATAACACACCAGTGCTTGGCTGCTACTGAGCAGCGCTCGCCCAGCATCAAGGTGTTTCTCCAACATTCCCCCCTCACCTGCAGGCTGGGAGTAGGCAAGATCTGGCGGGGGACATAGCCAGGACAGCTGACCCACGCTCACCAAAGCGTGTTCCATACCATGAGGTGTCTACTTGGCAACAAAAGTGAGGAGAAAGGAGGAGGTGGGGGGGGGCACTCGGTGTTGTGACATTTGTCTTCTGGAGCAACCGCTGTGCGTACGGAAGCCCTGCTTCCCGGGAAGCGGCTGGACATTGTCTGCTGATGGGAAGTAGAGAATAAATATTCTGTTTTCCTTTGTTTCCACACGTGGCCTTTGCTTTTGCTTTATTAAACTGCCTTTATCGTGACCCATGAGTTTTTTCCATCTTTTTTTTCTCCCCGTGCTGTCCTGCTGAGGAGGGGGGTGATAGAGCAGCTTGGTTGGCACCTGGTGTACAGACAGGGTCAACCCACCATGGCAGTGTTTCAGAAAAATATGGTATTCTTTCAGAATTCTTCTGGAAAAGAAACTTCTGAATCAGAAGAATACCGTGAAGCTGGAGGGGCTGGGACAGGGAGATGGAAAGTACCAACGTGTAAGGACTATCTGTATCTCTTTAGAAGTCTACTGAACTGTGACACAATGAAGGTAAAAGCATAGTTAACATGGAAATACACAAGGAAACATAATCCTGAGTCTTATCACTGCTTTTCTAACCCTAGAATTTTTCCAAATGTCATGTTGTAGAAGAACTGTTTCCTGGTTTTAGTTGGATTTTGTGGCTGATGAATGAATTGAACAGGGATGAATCTAGGCTTCCATAGCTGAGGACTGTCTAAAGCTGGATTCTCTGGATCTTGGTTTTTAAGTGGAAGAAATAATTTTCATTGGTGTTTTGAAATGTGAACTGTTTTCCTCCTACAAAGGAATGTGGCTTTGAAGATGAAAACTTCCTTACTGAGAATTCACCACTGCAGTCCCTGAGTCGCTTGCTGTATGATGAACTTATAAAATCTGTTTTGAAGATTATTGAGAAATTGGACTTGACTGTTCAGAAGCTGGATGCTAATGGACAGGT